GCAATAAATGAGTCATGTGAGTCATAGAAAGACGCAAATCTTTATCTTGTCTCTGCCATGGTGGAAATCATGATATGGTTTTCTTTACTTGCGAGTTTTTGTCATGAATTCGTGTTTGTGATTGGGTAAATGATGTTTTTTTTTTTCGCTTGTGAATGTTCGTCATTCTCACTTTCTATATTGGCTACTGATTTCACATATCTTTTTTTTTTGCAATCAAGTCTTGGTATCTATAAAATAAACATTTTCATAACCATGTTAGCACTTGCTAAGGAATGATGGATTGTAATGGAGCACAATTTTTTGTTAATGAAAACTATCCCATATCATATGAATTGAAAGTGTGTACACAGGTGGCAGGAGCAAAAAGAAGAAAGGTACACGTAACTGATTTGAAAGAAACAAAATGTTGACTTTGAAGTCACACATGGATGGATGGCTGTCTCTTTAAGAGAGAGTTTGAGAATGACATTTACAGCAAATAGAGAATAATTTGCCTGTGACTTCACTTCATTTTTCTCTAATCCTACATCAATCCATCTAAAAATGGTACCAAAATGAAAACTATATCCTGATCAAAGCAAAAAATTCAAATATTCTCCTTTTAGTCAAAAGTGTATGAGCTACAAAAGACACACAGCAAACATTTTTGCATTTGCTAGAAATGTCATTCTTTTTCTTAATTGTGATGCGATAACTTGTAATGTAAACTTCAGAACTGTAGTAGACTTCCTCAAATAATGTTACATGTAATATTTAATTTGCATACTAAAGTAGTATTTGGGTATAATCATCCTCCCCCCACTGAGTAACTTTGACTAGCCTGATATTCCAATTGCTTTCAATAACACCCAGCACCTATCAGAGCTCTGGCAGGTATTCTCCGAGTTGTGAATGACCGCCATGAAGTCACCAGCTGTTAAAAATCAGCCTCCTTGAGGACATTGCTCTGGGCCTCTCTCATTTCCTTCTGACAGCTGTTGTACCAGAGCAGCCACTCACTTCAAATTCTGATAGTAAAGGTTGAGACAGGCCTTGTTAGAGAAAAGTGTCTTAACCAGGAACATTGGCCAGGTTTCTTGGGTTAGTAATCAGTGAGCACACCATGCCAGCCATTAATCATTTGATCTAAATCTTTCTGACAAGTCTTTCTCTTTTTCAGGTGGATACAAATCAGGACAAAACGAGAGGAGAATAAACTCATAATTGATGATTTTATTGCTATCCAGAACCCAGGTAAACACTTGTGATCTTTTGCATTGATTTACCCGAAACGTAACATGGGTCAGATTCTCTGTTATTCTCCTGAAGTGGCATTTCCTCCTGGGAATTTACCTGATTGTTATCCCCAAATCACAAGTACAATAATTTACTTCATCCTTTCTAGATTTTCCGAAGATTTCCGACCACTTTCCGGAGATTTCCGAAGATTCTCCAAAACCTTTCCGAAGGCCACACGAACGTTTCTGAACATTGTCCGAAAATTTCCGAAAATTGCTAAGGATTTTCGAAGATAAACGTCGATTCCGAAGACTTCCAAAAATGTTCCGAATATACACCAACAAATTTTAAGTTAAGTCAGTAAAGGGTCGAACATGACATCAGGCATTACCCCATCGATATCATCACTGTGAAATTATCGTAATCAAGTCTCTTGTAATTTTACACGTGCAAAATTACGGTTTTTCCATGCCTGGTCCAGGGCTGGAAATCCTTGTAAAACACCTCTGTCAGTTTATAGTACGCTGGACAAAACTGTTCTGGATCGATGTTTTGACAGCAAAAAATTAAAACAAACATAGTGACACAAATAATTTTGCGATTGTCTTAAACTTTACTAAATTCAACACACGGAAACTTATTTTTACTGGATCACGCAAGAAAGGCTTGCGTCACACCTTGTCCAAATTTGGTAACTGAGTCACAAAAGTATTCAAAATCAAGTGATTTCTGAGAAAAATGAGNTCTGTGATTGTGATTCATTCTCCGGTACAGCTTTGCCTCTTGGAACGAGCTACTTTATTCATGGTTCTTAAGACAATAGATCAGGTCATAAGTATACCACCAGCCCTAAAATAACAGAAATATCGAGCGAGTATAGCGATTACATTGGCCCAATGAAAATAGAGCCGTTATAGAAAGATAGTGTCTTGCGGGGTGTCTCGAGCTTCGTCGAACGAGTTCTCGTGTGAGCTTCCCTTTATGTTGAGCTGTTTCTCCTTGATATTTTGTGAATTAATAGGTTTTAGAGGTATTTCCGAAACGGAACTGTGTTACAATAAATACAAAAGAAGCTACGGACGGGCAAAACTTGAAGAAGATTGAAACGGATTGCGATATAGGTTTTTGAAAACTGTTAGGCTGAACAGTTATGTCTTTTTGTTTTGTCACTTTTAATTTTAACGCCCAGGAATTTGTTTGTAATGAGTCTATGGTTTGGTCAGTTGTATCCATAAAAGTAATTTCTTCGCTAACATTAAGAGTCATAGCCAGTATTTGTAAAACTTATTAAAATAGACTAAACTCTGTTGTGACACAGTCCCTGTATATGTCTTCTGTCCTTTGGTCGTAATGGAACGACAAATTATTCGTAAAATGGTGATAGGCAATATAATTGCTGTAACTGAATGCTGATAAATTGTTTCTTTTTATTCCAGGTAGGACGCTTTTTCAGTCTCGAAGAGTAGCTGAGGCCTGGATGGACTGTTAATAACCTGAAGATGAATTAATCATACACTATGGATGATGTCTGAGAGGGACTAGCCAATAGGTTTTATATTTCTACCGAATAGTGTATGTACCAGTGACAGGTTAGATATCTCTTACTTCTAAGAAAGAGTTTTTGGAATCGGACTGTGTTGGAAAGAGTATTTCAAAGGAGTCATGACGCGATAGTCAAATTGTCTACCAGAAGGCAACTTGAACACGTCGGTTTATAATCACCATTTAGGAATCAGGATGGTTAGGACTGGGAAAGATTACGGCCGATAATATTTCGAATGTCTCACCGTCACGCAACGCTACGCCCTCGTGAGAAAGGGCCCTCTCTGCCGAGAGCGAAGCGTTGCGTGACAGAGAAGTGCCCAGAAAGGGGGTTTTCACTGGCTCTGTGTGATGAATTAATAGGGAGTTTAAGAAAACCACGACGGCAACGGCAACGGCAACCTCACTGAACAAAAGGTTCAATGAGCAGAAAAGTGGCTGTGCACGTGCGTTATAATTCTTGGTACATTTCTTTGCTGTCCGCTGCAAAACAACGTGAAATGACCGAATTCTGCGTTGTCTGGAGAACGTAAACCACGACAGCTAATTTTTAAAATTGTTATTTCGAATTTATCGATGTGTCCTAGATTCAGTTTCGTGATAGCTTTGATAGCGATAAACAAAGTAAATGATTTCAGGGTGCCGCGAGATTCGTAAACTCATTTTTCAATCGACTTTGTCGTCGGCGTCGCCGTCGTGGTTTCTTAAGCTCCCTAATTTTGGTTTCTAATACGCGGCAAGAAACGACGAAGCATTACCTCAACAAACGTAAATGTTTACGATCTGGAAACCCCGCGAACTTCAAAGTCATTCAAATTGTTTATTCCAATAACAATACATATGGTAATTTTATGGAATGTTATTCTGTGATCATTACAATTTACATGTTTCTGCTGTTGTTCACGTACAGCGAGGCCAGCTTAATATCCTTCAATCTTTTGTACATAATTTCTGCAGTAAATCGCCGAATGGAAGTTTCTAAGTTTATTCAATGGCAGTTATGTGTTGCAAGGATTTTTAAATCTTCTAACAACGTCTAATAATTATTCGTGAACTTTGTAGTTATCAAAGGGAAACAATGGCGCTATGTAGTTCCACATATTGTTAATATCGCGGTAATTCAAGAGGATCGAAGCCATTAGAGGAAAATAACACAAGGTTCGTAAATGAAGGTTTTATTATGATCACATCTTCAGAATATAGCGGAGGTA